TTGTATTTATTTGTAATGTGTTGTAACCTGTTGATGTTTGTATTGGTTCATTATGGTTGTTGAACACTGAAGAGTTGTCACAGATACAAAAATAATTTCTGAAAGGACAAGAAACTAAACTAATGAACTCATCTGATGCTGTCTAGAGAACATCTCAGTTCTGTCACTAGCTCCACCCTCTGGACACACACATGCCTGGACAAGTTACCACAGCCCATCACGATTACAAACAACCAGGATAAGTTACTATACTACTACAGGAATAATACTGAGATTATTAAGAAAAAGAATCTTTTAAATACTGATCTGATCAGGTATTATTTCTATATTGACCGCTGGGCCCATGCCGTTCAGACAGAGCGCAGAGCAGTTTGACAGAAAAACCATCAAAACGCCACAAGTTACCAAACCCACATGTTCATACTCCAACAAATGTTCACTCCAACCAATAAGCCATGCACAAGGTCTTCAGCCAGAGGAATACAAACTGAGTTTTCAAGACGTGCTTTTTTCAAGTTGAAAACGCGACGCGCGCGCGACTGGGCGTTTGTCCACAGACCAAACCAAACGAAATAAAATAGTATTTTTATGTCGAACCATTCTGATTTATTGGTAAAACGGTCGACTGAACTGAAGTCACTGAAGCTGGGAAACTGTCATGCTGCGCTTTCTCGAAGCGTAAATAATGATTTCAAACTGCTGATTATGTAATATACGTCAAGTCCTCCGAACCTCCGTCCGAGACCTCTCGGTCTCTCTGCTCCAGCCTCCGCCTGCATCTCTCCGGGTGACTGAGCCGCACCAGCTCCCAGAGGTCGGTGTTGACCAGGCTCTTCTCCCGGGACTGTCTCCGGGCCCAGCTGGACACCCGCAGCCGGCACAGCGGACAGCACAGACTGATTAACTTCACCGTCCGCTGGAAACAATGCAGGCACACCGAGTGTCCGCATGGCATCGTTACCGGCTCCAGCAGTATCTCGGAGCACACCGGGCACCGGGCCTCCTCCAGGCTCAGAGGAGCAGCGAGAGCGCCAGGCCTGGTTTCGCCTCTCTGCCCCAGTCCAGCGGATTTGGCGGACCCCACCGCCGCCATCTTCATTGGTATGTGCCTGCGTCTGGGTTTGAAAACAAGCCCCGCCCAGCCGTGGCGTCACGTGCAGCGGTGGTGGAACGACAACAAAACAACAAGCTTTTTCATATATTGGAGGTATACGATTTTTACTGATGTGCAACTACAACTTATCAAAAATTCCTATCAAACTTTCAAATTTCCACCAACAGGTACTTTTGGCACGGGCTTTAATATATAAACATAATTTCACTCCCCATAAATTCTTTCTTTTGGAACAACCAAACTATTTTATACAAAAATAGAACTTAATTTTTTGATCAGTGGTTTAATAACGGATTACTTTTAGTTTGTCAGCTATTTAACAACAAAGGTTTACTAATGACTTAAGCAGAATTTCTTTCAGGATACAATATGCCAGTTACTCCCATAGTTATGGGAGCGATACCAACAGGAATCTGTATGCTTTTTAAAAATGACTCTCAATCTACTCCAATAACTCCTGCTTTCCCTGAGCCAATGGACACTCCGATAGGTCAAATATGTGTTTCAGGAAAAAAAGATAGAAACAATCGAGTTAGATCCTTGTTTATTGAAGATATTATCTCGATATCTCCTGCAATCCTTTACTGGAATAATTTATAAAAAAATGTCAAATGGAAAAAGATTTGGTCTTTACAACAAAAATATTTTCTCACCTATAAAGTAAAAGAAGTGTCTTTTAAAATAATAAATGCATTTTACCCTGTATGATTAAATATAAAACCAATATTGATACAAGATGCTCATTTTGCCAAGTTCACACAGAAACTGTCTATCATTTATTTTGGTCATGTTTCTATACGGAACATCTATGGAAAGATATTGAAACATGTATTAAAGATAATATCCAACCAGATTTATCGTTATGATTAAATATAAAACTAATATTGATACAAGATGCTCATTTTGCCAAGTTCACACAGAAACTGTCTATCATTTATTTTGGTCATGTTTCTATACTGAACATCTATGGAAAGATATTGAAACATTTATTAAAGATAATATCCAACAAGATTTATCGGTTACTTTTAAAGATATTATTTTTGGACACTTTGATTCTGATTCTAATAAAAACAAAGCTTGTTTTGTTATAAATTTAATTTATTTTCTTGGCAAATTCTATATCCATAAGTGTAAATTTACCAACAACAAACCAATATTTCTTGTTTTTTTGAAAGAATTAAAAATGTATCTTAATACTATTTCATCCTCTGTAAATAAGGAAGCGAGAAGAACAACTTCAATTTGTAATGACTTTAATTTGTATACTCTAATTGAAATATAAATTAATATCTTACCCTCATGTTTTTTTTGTGTTTTTTTTCCAACTTGTCTTTTTTTTTCTTTTGTTCTGTATGTTCAGATGGCATTGTACATATTGTTGACAAATGTGTACTCTATACAAAGTTGTATATCTTTAATATCATCTTTGTGATGTTTGCATTCATAATAATAAAAAAAATGATCATTTACAGAAAACATGTAATGCTTTGAAAACACTGAAATTTATGTAGTTGCCTCTTTCCTTTTCCTTTATATATATATATATGTGTGTGTGTGTGTATATAGTTTTGTTGGGGTGTTTTTCTCTCTGGTAGCTAATGTTAATATGATAATGTGTATATGTAATACCTCGTGTTCTTGTGGTATTGATTAATAAAGCACTTGCATTTTTTAAAATCTAATAATAAAGGAATAACTGCTTCCTTTATTATTATTATTAGGGCTGCACGATAACCACATGTGATGAGAAGGAAACAATTAATGATCAATTACTGGGCTAACCTCAAGGGTCCTAAAGATGATCATCCTACAAAAAGGGTTTTAATGAATTGTTGGGAACAAAGTTTGTGTATGTAGAAGAAATGGAGGTAAATAGGTTTAAGATGAGCCCAACAGTGGTGATTCCTGAAAATGAACCATGGAGTTATACAACTCCCCATATAGATTTACATTTGCTGGAAATTAAAAGAGCAGAAAGAGAAGTAGACATGTCTTCAGCATTCTCTGTACATTTTAGAACACAATATCCTCAATACTTACAAATATTCACAGCTGGCTCGAAAGATCCAGAGCGTGATACAACTGGAGCTGCTTTTTTAGTTCCTGACTGGGCAATGAGTAGTATCAGCGAACATCCAATCATCTGGCAGTATATACGGTTGAAATGATAGCAATACTCTTGTCCTTGCAGTGGGTAGAGGATTATAAACCTGGAAAGGTTTTAATTTGTTCTGATTCACTCTCAGTTTTAAAGAGTCTAAGGTCTTTTAAATCCAGTCATCGAGATATTCTTTTTAGTATTTTACAGATATAGTCAAGATTGCTTCAAAATGATATTTTAATCAGTTTTATTTGGGTTCCATCACACATCGGTGTAAAGGGAAATGAGGACGTAGATAAGTTAGCAAAACAAGCTTTGCAGAGAGAAGAAATAGAATTACAAGTTCCTCTAAGCAAGTCTGAAATTAAGGTTTTAATCTGGAAAAAGGTTATTGCAGAATGGCAAATAAAGTGGGACAACATCGAAAAGGGTAGACTTCTCTACAATAACCTTTTCCAGACTGATAGATCTCAATTACTTTCTTTCTCATTTGTTTCTGAATTTCTTTGGATCTCGGCATGATGTCTAGCTTTTGAGGATCTTTTGGTCTACTTCACTTTGTCAGGCAGGTCCCATTTAAGAGATTTCTTGATTGCGAACAGGTGTGGCAGTAATCAGGCCTGGGTGTGGCTAGAGAAATTGAACTCAGGTGTGATAAACCACAGTTTTAACAGGGGGGCAAACACTTCTTCACACAGGGCCATGTAGTTTTGGATTTTGTTTTCCCTTAATAATAAAAACCTTCATTTATAAACTGCATGTTGTGTTTACTTGTGTTATCTTTGACTAATATTTAAATTTGTTTGATGATCTGAAACATTAAAGTGTGACAAACATGCAAAAAAATAAAAGAAATCAGGAAGGGGGCCAACACTTTTTCACACCACTGTACATGTATATATTATATATTTTAAAAATGTTTTTATAACCAAGACTGCATTTATTTGATTTAAAAAAAAAAAAAAAATTTTGTGACGCATTTTTACAATTTAACTTGCTCTATTTTATTTTAATAAATTGTAAAATATAATTCAGTGTCACATATTTCCACAGAATTCACTCTAATATGATGATTTGGTGCTCACAAAACATTTCTTATTATTTTCAATGTTGATATTTTTGTGGAAATCATGATGCGTTTCAGGATTTCTTAAAATGAATTTAACGTTCAAAAGAATAGTATTTATTTACAAAGATGTATTTGTAACAATGTAAAAGCCTCTACAGTCACTTTTGATCGATTAATGCATCTTTGCTAAATCAAATAATTAAATTTCTCTAAAAAGAAAAAGAAAATTCTTACTTGATCCTAAACTTTTGAATGGTAGTGTTCCCATGAGCATTTCATTGTCACAATTTATTTACATTTCACTGGTCTCCTAGAAATAGTGCAGAATACACAGAATATTTATTTCATTTTGTTATATTATTTATTTAAAATGATAAAACAGGTTTATTTACTATTTCCAGGTTTAAAAAAAAAAAGTACCTTTTGTCAGCAAAACAAAGGTAATTGTTGAGTTTTGCAGGTATTCATTGTGGAAGATACATCACCTCCCATGGACTGGCTCTTAACTGCAACACAGACATGAGTTGGTTTGACAACATTGTGCCATGTGGGATTGTGGGTAAAGGTGTGACATCACTGAGCCGAGAGCTGGGGCGGGACGTCCCAACTGAGGAAGCCATACCAAAACTGCTGGAAGCCTTTACTGAACAATTTAACTGCACTTTAACATATAATTAATACATGTATAAATAATGTCAAGTGTTTGAATATGTGCTTGTATTGTTATTAAAATAATTTTAACATGTTATGTGTGTGGCGTCTGGTTTTCATGATCATACATAAGACATACGCATTGCATGAGATCAGCAGGATAAAAATATCCCGATAGTCTTAACTCTTGATTTGATCATGTAATTATCGTGAATTATTTACAAAACATGTTTTCTGGAAGTGGATGGGTACAGTAAACACTACTGCATTGCTGACATGGGACACATGAGACTTGAGAAAGAACTTGAATGAGATTACCAAATAATATTATAACATAAGAGGATATTTTTGTGTCTTTTGTGTATACATATTCTTTTCTCTTTTTATTTTTATACTTTATGCTGTTGTACTGTTCAAAGCTTTTGGTAAGCAATTTTTATATATATTATATATTTTAATGAAATTAATACATTTAGCAATAATGCATTACATTTATCAAGAGTAATATTAAAATGTCCATTATGTTACAGTATATTTCTATTTCAAATGAATGCCGTTCTTTTCATATTTCTATTCATTGAAGAGTCCTGTAATAATAATAATTATAATTAGTTTCCACCAATAAATAAATAAATGGAGCAGCACAACTTTGTTTAACTGTGATAATCAGACATGTTTCTTGAGCAGTAAATCATATTAGATTGATTTCTGAAGGATCATGTGACAATGATGCTGAACTATATATATATATATATATATATATATATATATTTAACAGTTGAACAAGTTTAAAGGGATAGTTCACCCAAAAATGAAAATTATGTCGTTAATTACCCTCATGTCGTTCCAAACCCGTAAGACAAATTAAGATATTTTTGATGCATTCTGACAGCTCTCTGAGCATCCCATAGACAGCAAGGGTACCACCACGATCAACGTCCAGAAACGTAGCAAGGAGATCGGTAAAATAATCCATGTGACATCGGGTTCAACCGTAATATTACGAAGCTACGAGAATACTTTTTGTGCGCAAAAGAAAAGAAAACGACTTTATTCAACAGTTCTTCTCCTCTGCGTCACCCTGTAGCGCCATTTTGGAGAATATCCACTGAACGCAAACAGCGTATGTTGTTCTGTATCAGCCGCACCACACGGATACATTGTTTTCATTCAAATCAAAGCACAAACCACGTAGAAAACGTATCCGCATGGCGCAGTTTTTTTTTTTTGTGGACAAAAAGTATTCTCTTATAAAAGTATAGATTCGTAATATTACGGTTGAACCCGATGTCACATGGAGTATTTTACCGATCTCCTTGCTACATTTCTGGACGTTGATCGTGGTGGTACCCTTGCTGTCTATGCAGGGTCAGACAGCTCTCAGATTCCATTAAAAATATCTTAATTTGTGTTCCGAAGATGAACGGAGGGCTTACGGGTTTGGAACGACACGAGGGTGAGTAATTAATGACAGAATTTTCATTTTTGGGTGAACTGTCCCTTTAACAATAATTTAGAATTATAGATTAATGTAATAATAATGAAAGAAAGTTCCATTTTTTTCTTTCTTTCAGTTTTAGTGAATCAATCAATCAATCTCAGGCCAATAGCATAAGCAAATAGTTATTATTCCCAAAGGCAACTATATTTTTTCAACTTATTTTTTCTTTATAGCCTATATTTTCTCCTGATTACTATTATTTTTTTAATTTATTTACTTTTCTTTGTTTTTCAACTGGTTATCCACACCTCCAAATGTGAGAACCAGTGGTATAAAAACACAAGCAGGTTATAAAAATTCAACCTTTAACACAACTGACCAGAGAGAAACAGAATGCACTATAGCAAGCAGTTTCTTCAAATGATAATGATTCTTCAAAACGGACACATTATCATAAAATAGTTTTATTAAAATAAATTCTAATTGTCAACCATTAATATGAATTTACAGATACAGCTACAGATCCGGGAATGGGCACTGGACTTCCCGTCTGCTCGTCTGGGGGAAGTACAAAATATCCAATATAAGATTAACCTTTTCATATAAAAACTGGAATAAATACAAAACTAGAGTCAAACTAAAACTGAAATGAAACAAATTAATAATAAAGAGTAAGTAGTGAATAAATGAAATAATCATAACTAAAGCACATAGTACATTTCGGAATAAGGTGTTTACAAAGTAAATAATAACTGATTAATATGAATATTTTAATTAAAAATTTAAAAAATGTACCCACGTAGATATTAAATTAAAGTGCCTTTAATCTATTAAATAACAGCAGAGTGAGCAAGTTTTTGGATATGCTAAGATTAAATTTATTTTAGTGAATACATTTCAGCTCTCATTTTGTAAGAGTGGTTATACAAAATAATATTTAATCTTTATTAATTTATTAATTTAATTTTATCTTTATTAAAATCCTCAATCTTTCTGCTTCATGTGGCCATAAATATTTAATTTTAGAGTGGCTTTAAGCACTATGCATCACCGTGACCATGTAAAGCCGGTAAATGTGGTGTTTACATGGAATAATCGTAATATGAGCTTACCTTATGGTACAAACCCAGAGTTTCTGCTGGGTTACATCGGTAGGAAAGCGGTAAAACAGACATCTTCCATCCGATAACTTGTGGTTGCATTTCGGGTCGAAGCAAAAAAAAACATTGTCGAACAACAATATAAAATGAGGAAAACTATTAGTTGGTTATTATAAAATTAATTGTACTACAAATTAGAAAATACTACAAGTGGAAAATACGATAAATTGATAAACTTTTCGGCGTCATGATGTTTAACGTTTAATATTTAATGTCTCCGCCTGTAGTCACATTTAGCAACTTGTTATAGCAACCGTCTTTTTCAAGAAATGTAACAGCTCAAAAAAAATCATGAGCGGGGTGTATCTTGTGTGTTTTATGTTGTTGAATAAAACGTGAAAGTATTTTGAGCTTGTATTAACCACAGACCTTATAAAACCCAAACAATAAAATAAAAACAGAAACTGCTCTTGACCGAATAACTTCTGTAGCTTTAATAAGAAGACATTGCTTACTTGAATGCTGCTTTTAAATGCTCTAGCGTGAAGATAAACATGGCAGATTGTGTGCGGCTCACTCAGGGCCGGGTCTCTGCTAATTAGGCCAGTGTCCGTCAACAGTCGTGGCCGAGGCCTGAGCAATGTGACGTCACTTTGTACAGATTCTGCAAACGGCTTGTTCTGCGACACTGCTTATGATTTATGGGGATTAAAAAAAGTGTGTAATAATAATAATAATAATAAAGTGTCTCTCAACTCAGTCTCATAACTTCCAAATTTTCTGTTCCAATTTTTCTGTCCAACCCTTGCTTTATGTGAAAACAGTGCCACATTTTACAAGCTGTAATTATGTTCTGGAGCAGCTCTCTGTAAAGACTCCATTTTTGTAAACATGATTTATATTCTGTCAAGCTTGTGGAAATGGCAGGCCTGTGGTGGACCAAAGGTGATTTATAGGTGTTTTTTCCTCTGATCATTGCAGTGGCACTAAGTGAACAGGCAGCAAAAGTATGGCTGCTAAATTCAATTACACGTCCTGTCCTCTACATTGTGTCCTTGAGGCCAAAATCTTGTGAACACATTTGTCACTGATGATTTTTCACCTTTTGAAGCAGAGAATGAATATGATTTTGTGGCTGGTATGGTAGATGGCGTTTCTGCATTTGCTTGGTAGCAAAAAATTTTGTGTGTGTAGACTGTTTTCATTCTCATCATAAAATAACCATAAACTGAAATTTCATGACACGAAAGCTCTTAGGTTCTGAGTTATAGGGACTGTCCACACCAAAATTAAAAATCTGTCAATATTTACTCACCCTTGGACAAAACCAGTTGCTGACATTTTTCTGTGGCGGAGTTTTTGAAGAATCATAACCTAGGGCGGCAAAAAGGACAGAGATTTTAGTTTATCTTTTGGGCATTCTTTGGAATTATTGCACTCATATCAACAAGTTATCGCCCCTTAGTTATTCTAACTCTAAATTAACTTAGCTTCATAGTAATGCCGCTCCTGCGCTGTGCCCCACCTGAGCGGCGTCAATATCACATGCAAAACACAGATCCTAATATGTTGGTTCAGTTGTGTTTGATCAGGGTTTTAGCTGAACTTTGCTGGAAGGTAGATCTCCAGGAACAGGGTTGGGCACCCCTGGGGTAATCTATTAGATAGGCTCATGTACATCCACGAAGCCTACATCCAAACACGTAGGCTACATACACATAGGCCTACATCCACATACATAAAAAAACAAAACCAAAAAAAAAACACGGTTTTGGTTTTGTTTTTTTAGCCAGGTATCCTAGATATTTATCCTTTATCATTTAAAACGCTACAAACAGTGTTTAATTTGTAAATTGCGAGGTCCCGGAAAATAAAGCGGGGTGAAGGATCCGGCATGTGATCAGAGGATGAAGAGGTAATGGAGCTTTAGCGCAATCATTTAGTGGACCCACTTAAGTGATTACCAGCTTGCATCAGTTGCTTTTTTAGTATGCACATATACTATTTTATTGCAACATTTTTTTTGTGTTTGGATAGTTTTTGTGTAACCCAGCTCCTGGGACAGGAGAGTCGCAACAACCCAGTGCTTGTAATGAGTGCAGATATTTTGCATTCTTTTGAGAGTAGTTCTAAGTGCCACCGACTTGCATTTCTTTGGTCAAATATAGATTTGTGTATGTTTTATTTCATCTATAAAACAGTTTCTTTGCTGTAAATCATTTTATTTTATGCAAAGCAAACCAAGTCACCTAAACAAGAGCATCAGTCTTTTTGCAACGATTAAATGTTTAATTTTTACTTCTAAAATGCTTGTTAAACGAGTTTAAATGTAAAAAATGTTGTATACATGTTTAAACGGTAAAATATGTTGTATTAAGAACTGTATTTATCTAAAAGGCATTTAGAGAAAGAAAGAAAGAAAGATAAAAAAGTCAAAATAAATGAAAAACTAAAACGAAACGAAACCAACAGCAGCTATTGCACACCTAACTAAAAATAATAATCAAAAATAAATAATCGTTTTCTAATCAATCTAAGCATGCTTTAATTTTGTGTAGCTAGAGGTTTGCATCAATAAGCTTAAAGTCCCCATGAAATCAAAATAAAAGTTTTTTGGGTGTTAGTATCAATATGTTAGTCTTAAGGTTATCTATAAGGCAGTGTGCTCCAAAACAGTGACAACATTTGCATTTAAAAGATATAAGCATTCAAAGTTTGCTTCACTTCCACTAAAACGGCTCAACGATTTTTTTGACGTCACATCGTACTTCAGTTTCTCATCCAATCAAATGCTCTCTAGAATCCGAAGCCCCGCCCCCTACACTATAAAATAGACGCTGAAGCCGCGGCTGAAATCGGTCACTTGTCCACAGAATTAGTATTTTCTGTACAGTGAATGGCACTTAGTGCACTAAATAGGGGACAGGGAACAATTAAAACAGTGTAAATATGCTTTCCATTGAGGAAAGAAAGAAGTCTGGTTAGGCGCTGTGTCCCGCTAACCACCGCACCGCACACACACTCTGCTCCGGTCCAGAGACACATTAGCACAGCGCGGATCACATGCGCGAGTCAGCGCAGACCACTAAATGTATCAGAGCTATTTGAGTTCTACACAGAATGCTATATTTTATAGCAATATGGATGAGATTGTGGCTGTCAAATGTGGCTTTACGGAGCTCAACGGCTCTGAACGGCTCTAGCCCAAGCTGTGATATAAACAAACGCTATTGGCTATTCTAAAAAGGGGCGGGGCTGCTTGATATGTCCCGCCCTGTCTTCCTGTTTCAGTTCAAATGACGTCAACACAGAGCAACGCTGCGTGTTTCTAAGCATTTCAGGGGACCTTTAAATTAAAATGTCTTTGGTCTGCGCTCTGGAAGTGTTCTGTTAATTCTGCTCACCTTTAATTACTAAAACTAAAATGAAAACTGAAACTAAACTATAAAAACTAAATAGGCTATAAATCTGTTCACAAAATAAAAACTAAACTAAAATTAACCAAATTCTTAATGAAAATTGAAAACGATATTAAAATAAAAACAAATGTAAAAATGCAAAACTATAATAACCCTGACACGAACATCTTTCATTGGTGCGTGAGGAGGAGGATCCGCCATATGAGGTTATCGGAATTGGGAGGTGCGGGATCTGGACCCAGCTTGTTCAAATTACACCCTGACAACGAATAGGGATTTCGGCTGTAAGAGCACGGCTTGAAAAGACTTATATGTCTCTTAGTGAAACTACAGAGACTTGTGCTTTCCGTGTCCTGAACTACATTTGTCGAGCTGCTTACCGGGAATTCTCCCAAATCTTCCCATGGCCACTTCAGGCATGTACATACACTTAATTTGCTTTTGCAGCTATACTAGTGGTAATTCTTTAGTAATTTATTAATTTTTTTACGTTGCGGTAAGAAAAAATAAAAATAAAAATCAGAAAGCACACCCGTGTCTGCTTTATTTTAACAGTTGTACCAATAAACAAAATCTCTAGTCTTTCACATGCATCATAGGGTGTTTTCACATATAGTTCGTTTTAAAAGAACCAAACCCAGTTCACTTAAAGTGAACCAGAAAGGGAACCAACTGAAAGGGACCTCAGTCCTTTTGGTGTTCACAATCTAGTGGACTCAAAAGAGAACCCAGTTCTTTTTTTGGTCCTCTTCAGCAATGAAGAGATCTCAGACCCTTTCTTGTTCACACCACAACTTTATAAGAACTCAGACCCCAGCTTTCTGTGCAGCAGTGGATTTTGGGTATTCAAGATGGCGTCTTCACATGTTGTCGTCACATGGATGTGGCATACAAAGTTTTTTCACTTTAACGTGGCATTGTAGCGCGGTTCTGTTATATCCCCTTTCCTTCATTTTTTGGGCAAACAAAAGAAACAGTTTTATGTTTTTATGGGTTGAGGAGAGTTGGCGCTTAATGTAATCATCTTTCCAAATTTCAATAAGTGCACAACTCTCCTCCTGGGACCACACAACCCCACGACCTGCCATGGTGAAAAGTTTTCTTCTGTTGTTACAGCAGTGACGTAACATGGCTGCAGGTATGGCATGCCTTCAGGTACACATGTTGAAACGAAACGCAAAGCGGACCGGGATCTCATTGCTTTCGCATATCACGAAGATATCGAACCACAAACGAACTGTACTCAGACCACCTCCGCTTTTGGGTCCCTTTAGGGGGGTCTGAGATCACATGGTTTGTTCACATATACACGCTGAACCGCTCTGAGAGCGTTTGAAACGGTTAAACGAACTAGGTGTGAAAACACCCTTAAAGATCGTGTTTAATTGTGAATGTGAAGTGGGGTCACGGTAGGGTTTTGCCTAGGGCGGCAGTTGAGCTCGCGCCGGCCCTGTCCATACTTGTGTGTTATTCCACATCATATTTGATGTCACTTGCTTCATAGGTGCCACATTTCATTTAAGAGCTGTGGTGGAGTTTTGCAGTGAATAATGACACAAAGCTTTAGTGTGAATTCATGAGACTTGCATATATTGATTTTATGGTGCTTTTTGAAGGTTGACAGATAGTTGAAATAGTTGAAATTGATGAAAGTAGTTGATTGATATTTTTTCACAAAGATGCATTGAACTGATCAAAAGTGACAGAAAATACATTTCTAATGTTACAAAAGATTTCTGTTTCAAATTAATTCTATAGTTTCTATTCTGCTGTTCATTAAATAATCCCGAAAAGAAAGAAAGAAAAAGAAAAAAAAACACTATATGGTTTTCATGCTTTGTTAGGAACCATCGTTAGTTAGCACAAACATTTTCAGCTGTGATAATAAATTTCTTGAGCAGCAAATCATCATATTAGAATGATTTCTGAACTGAAGACTGGAGTATTGATGCTGAAAAAAATCAGCTTTGCATCATAAGACATTAAAAACAGAAATAGTCATTTAAAATTGTTTTTAAAATATTTCACAATATTGTTGTTTTAATGTATTTTGATCAAATAAATGCAGCTTTGGTGAACACAGGAATATTCTTTAAAAAAACTAAAGTTGTACTGACTCCAAACTTTTGATTGGTAGTGTACTTTTGTATAGCAAAGAGCTTAAAGGGATAGTTTGCCCCAAAATTTAAATTTTGTCATTAATTACCCTCATGTCACATGGACTATTTCTCTGATGTCCTTACTATGTTTCTAGACCATAAAATGTTTCAATTGCGTTGCATTTTATTTCATAAAAAATATCTTAATTTGTGTTCTGAAGATGGACAAAGGTCTTACGGGTTTGGAAAGACATGAGGGTGAGTAATTAATGACACAATTTTTATTTTGGGTGAACTAACCCTTTGAAAACTTTTGGTACACCATTTTTGAGTGATCTATTCCTTTGAATAAGAGGTATTTTCAAACTTCAACCAACAGATGGCAGTGCTTCAATGCGATTTGCAGATGATATTCTGTGGCATTTGTAATGTGAAACCAAGGCCATGAACTGTATCTCTGAATGCTTTGTGACCAGGTTCAGTGATTTTCATGTTTCAAGTATCAAGTGAGCTTCAACCGGACACATACATATAGTAAAATTACATCTTATTTGTAAAAATTAACGGTGTCTACTGTATATCTGAAGTATGACATTTTTTGTGTATTTGCATATGCAATGACATGGAAAGGAAAGAATGGTCCTGTAGGAGAGAGAAAGCCATTAACTCCTCTTACCCCTTCCTGAGCTTCTTTGTTCAGTTTATTGATTGTGGCAATTGATAATTAATCACCTATTGCAAGCCAGAACAGTTACGTAATTGAAGTGGAATCAGATCGAGCAATAAATTGATTGTCACACCAGGAATGTGTATAAAAAGAAACAAGCCATTGATTGACTCCATCACAACAGTAAGGATTGGAAAAAGTAGCCTGACAGCATGACGCTATTACTGCCCGACAAAACTGACCTGCTGGAACATGTACAGTATATATAAGCCAAATAAAGATGAAAGTTTGACATTAAAAATAGAACATAACCTGATACGAACTAAGTTTGTAAGAGCTGTACTTAAATGCAACCCTAATACTGTCTGTCCTCAGGATTTTAATGGCTCTCTAGTAGTGCTGGGCGGTATGACCAAAAATTTATATCACTGTATTTTTCAAAATTATACCGGTTTCACGGTACATGACGGTATTTTTTTTTTCATGCATGACCGGGTGTTAACCATATTTTCTACTGATTGAGAAAGGAAATACTGCAGTATATTGACTGAGAATACCCTATTGCACTGTCATGAGTGAATATTGTCAAAAAATACGCAGCAGGAAAAAAATTTACATTGTAACTTCTGACCAAAAAGACTTGGTGAATGGGCAATGATAAAACAAATGTAGAACAGATTCTTCATCAGTATTACAAAGTGAACAAATTGTAGTGTAATTATTGTCACGCTGAACAACAATAATTACTGTATTTGCATTATTGTAAGGGGTAGGCTTAGGGTTGGGGCAGGTGTAGACGTTAATAAAACACAATCTAATAGGTAGCAAATTTAATTTATTGTTACTTTCCAGCCGCTCGGAGCGCCTGAAAAAAAACTCTGAGCATAAAAGTACCCTTGTCCAGTCGAATTAATGGAAAGGCTCGCCTTCCATTGTGGTGACAATTTACAGTTTCTTGTAACGTCCGGAGACTGCAATGATGGAGGAGAAACATCTCGGTTACGTATGTAACATTGGTTACCTGAATAAGGGAATGAGACGCTGCGAAGCGGTAGCTATGGGATCCCCTTCGGTGTGACGAATGTCTGAAGCCCTTATAACATCACACCATTTTATTGGCCAGTAGTGCCTAGCACCGTCTCAAGCATGATTTCATCAGATTTCCAAGTACAAAGGAAGCACTTATCAAAGGTATGGGAACGGCCAACATCACAGCGTCTCATTCCCTATTCAGGGAACCAAGGTTACATATGTAACTTAGACGTTCCCTTTCATAGGTTCACTTCTGCACTGTGAAGCAGTCGCTATGGGAACGATATACCATAATGCATTCCCATATCTGAGGATAGCTGGAGGACCAAGGAAAGTGTCTGTTCAAGTGGATAAAACCCGGGAGCCAGGAGTCATCCTCACGTCCAGACTGTATAACTTGATAGAGGTGCTTGGAGAGGACCATCCTGCAGCAGCACACATATCTTCCAATGAAGAGCCCTTAAAAAGAGCCTGAGAAGAAGCCACTCTTCTCGTTGAGTGAGCGTGCACACCCAGAGGCAAAGTCAATCCACGCACTTCATAGACCACAGAAATAGCCTCAACTACCCAATGAGATATTCTTTGTTTGGTAATGGCAGCTCACTTGTTTTTACCACCAAAACATGCAAACAACTGGTCAGATCTACGGCACTGGACTGTGCGGTCGACATAGATTCTTAATTCCTTTACTGGGCAAAGACTAAGAAGACGCACATCACCATCAGACCCCACATCAGTCGGGGAAAAAGCCTCCAAGACCACTTGCTGGAAGCGAAACGGAGTTGAAGCAACCTTAGGAATGTACTCAGGCCTAGGTCGCAGTAAGTAAGTAGCCCTGGGAAAAAATCCATACAAGAAGGGCTGATAAAAAGAGCCTGCAGATCCCCGATTCTCTTAAGAGAGGACAGAGCCACCAAAAGGACCATCTTAAGGGTCAAATACATCTCTGACACAGACTCCAATGGCTCAAATGGATGGCCTGCCAGACCTTCCAAGATGATAGATAAATCCCATGAAATAATTATTGCAAGGCGGAAAGGCCTAAGCCATCTCGACCCCTTCATGAAACAGGAAACCAGAGGGTGATGTCCTACAGAAACCCCTCCCAAGGGCACATGTTCAGCAGGTATGGCTGCTACATAAACCTTAAGAGTGGAATACTGTCGATAATCTCCACCAAGAGACCAGAGCACATTAACACACTCTGCTCAGGGGCCACACCTATAATCTCCATAAATCTGGATGGGGATGCCAAATTATACCCTGAGCCTAAATCAGCAGGACGTGTCTGAGGGGAACCTCCCAAGGTGGGCCGGCCATCAGACTGACCAAGTCCGAGAACCACATCTGAGTGGGCCAGAATGGGGCCACCAACAACAGATGTTCCACCGCTGAGAGCAAACGGATCTGCGGGAAGGCATAAAGTTTGGTCCTAGAGATTTCTTGGCCAGAGCATCCAAACCCAGCAGCCAAGCGCTCACTCATCGTCTCAGGTAAGTGATTTTTTTTCTTTTTCAAATTCGGCCATATGTTTAAGGGTTAGTTATCACTAATGACAGAGAGGAGTAATATTACATAGATAGTTTAACTATGGTAGGTAAGATTAGCTCTTAGTGTACATTTAGGTGTTTAAAGAATTAGAATACAGCTGTTTAGGTATGGAGGACCAAACCTGCAGAAATTAAAAACAAATAAATACACAAATAAATAAATAAATGTGTGTATAAATAAATAAATATGCAAATAAATGTGTGTATAAATACACGTAATCTTGTTTAAATACATATATAAATAATTAAATGCGTGATGAAAGTAGTCAAATAAATCAAATAAATTGGTGACCAAATGGAAAATGTTTAAGGAAATGCTAAACTCATCCTAACTGTTTTCTTTTAATCACTCATTTATTTCTGAATGTAGTTCCACATTTATTGTTCCTCTGCACAACATGCTAATGAGAGGGTGTCAACCATGGACTTGCTTGGGACAGGGAGAACTAGAGTGGGCAATGCGTAGTCATGCTCGAAGCAAACAAGTCTACTTCCGCTGGACCTCACCTCACCACTCACCACCTGAGGGTGTAACCTCCATTCTCCGGCTTTCAAGCCCTGCCTCGAGAGTACGTCCACACCTAGATTCAGATGACCTGGGACATGGACTGCTCTGACATACAGAAAATTGGTCTGTGCCCAAAGAAGGACATGTCTCGCCAACCTGCACGGGGGCGAGAACGTAGTCCGCTTTGGCGATTCAGGAAATTGAGCCTCATCCACGGACATCCAAGCAAAAGCTTCTGCGCGTCATCATAACTGTGCAGAACGGGTGGCAGTGAGGTGAAATGTTTTGGCTTTTGATCCACCACTGGAATGGCCTCATGTGGAGCAGGCCCAACTGAACCACAGGGGACACTGCTGCCATAAGGCCCATCAGTCTGCGGCATAAACCTACATGTACTAGACACCCTGTTCTGAACTGACTCAGACAGGTTCACAGTGACTGAACACAAGCGGGAGAAAGTTGTGTCCACATCGTGCGAGAATTCAAGTCCACACCCAGAAAAGTAGTTTACTGACATACTAGCAGAACACTCTATTGCAGGTTTGCGCGCAATCCTAGGCTCTTCAAATGATCGAGCACCAAGTCTCGATGCGCTATCGCCAGATCCTGTGATTGAGCTAATATCAGCCAATCGCCCAGGTAGTTCAAAATCCGGACACCCTGGAGCCGCGTCCATACACTTTGTGAATCTTCTATGAGCCAGAACCAGTCAGAATGGAAGAACACGGTATTGGTAAGCTTTACCTTTGAAAGCGAACCTGAAGAACTTCCTGTGTCTCTTGATGATCTGGATGTGAAAATACACATCCTTTAGATCGATAGTCACAAACCAATCTACGGTACGAATATGAGATAAAATGGATTTTAAAGTCAGCATCTTGA